CCCCCTGTCTTGCTTCTCAAGGCCCCTGCATTCTCTCCAGCCAGGGCACCTTAGTCTGGACCCTGTGACAAGCCTCTGACTGGTATTAGCAGGCAGATGCTTGCTCCAGGGGAGGGACGGGCGGCAGGCAGACCAGAGGCAGCTCTGACCTCTTGGGTCATTGATCTGGGGGAGTGGAGTGGCGTCCAAAGGTGGCAGACAAGCCCCGTTTCCCCCTTGGCTGACCCAGATGGCAGCAGGTCTGCCAGCCTGATGGGTCTGAGCCAGGGGCGGCCCTATCTGAGCAGGGACCCGCTTATAGAATCCCGAACAGCGATGGCCAGTCTCATAGAAGCCAGGAGAGAACCCCAGACCCGGCTGGAGGGGCTTGAGCCCCTCCCTGGGCCTTGGCACCATTTCCTCCTCTCCTCAGTGCCTATTGGCGATCTTGGGACCTGGGCAAGCAGCCCTGCAGTGTCAGAAAGGGGAAAGGCAGAACAGGGTAAGAGAAGGAGCTGGGAGTCAAGGGTTCAGATTGTGGCCCTGGATCTGCCCCTGACTTGTGTGACTGCGGGTGGGCAGCTTCCTTTCTCTGAGCCTCGGCCATGATCTGTAGGGGGCCTGTGCTCTCTCAGGGCCCTTCCTACCCTAGTGGAGGCCAAAGAGCTCAGGGCAGGGTGCTGAAGTCACACAAACCCTAGATGGGTAAACCACATCTTATCTCTGCAAAAACAGATCATGACTGTACCTGTCTCGTGGACATCCTTTGTGAGGTACAAATAGTGCAATATGCCAAGTGCTTAGCACAGGGCCTGGCTCTAAAGTGGAAAAACTATTTTTCATATCCTTGGAGTCTGTGAAGGAACATCTTGTCCCCGTATTTCTCAGGAGGAAGTGAAGGCCTCAATGGGGAAACGATGTGCCACTTGTACCCACAGCCAACAGGAGGACTTGAACTTGAATCATCTCACTGCAGGTCGTGCTGTGCAGGCCTTGGCCCAGCAGCTGCTGTCCTCTGTCCCGTGGCTTCTTCTCCCTCTCCCCTGCAGGGATGCCTCCTGTGGGGAACATCGCAGAGGACAGTGCTGCTCCCTGACCCCCCACTTCTCCCCCTTCCCAGTCAAGCCTGGCATTAATATGATGACTTCACCACATCACCCTCTGCCTAGACTAGGGGTGTCGAAGTCAATCAGAGAAGGGGCCAAAATCTAAAATCCAGCCTAAATCGCGGGCCGAATGCTTTACTGAACAGTCATAAACTGTCATTGTGATGGAAACGCAGCGGAGTGCAGTGATGACAGCGCGGTGTGGGCCACATTGCAAGGCCTGGCGGGACGGATTTGGCCCGCGGGCCTTGTGTTTGACACATGTGGCCTAGACCCTCTGCAGGAGCATTTCTCTCTTGGCCCACTTTCCACCAATTCTGCCCCTTGCACTCACTGCTCTTAGTGGGACAGGTCCCTGCAGGACCCCGAGGCTCTTGGGCATGTGCACATGAGCACGTGAGAGGGCTGTGGAAGGTGGACTTAGAGTGAGCTGCCACGGTGCTACTGGGACCAGCATCTCCCTCACCCCCTATCCTTGCCATGACCCAGGAACTTGGCCCTGGTCCCTCTGGTCCCTCCCCATATACAAGGAGTACAGCCTGTATTCATGTTCACATTCCCTATCCTAGCCTGCCAGAGCTGTGCTCAGAGCCCTGGAGGGCTCCCCTCACTGGCCACCAGCCCGCAGCATGCAGTCCTGCTCTTGTGTACTGCATACATGTTGCGGATGGGGGCACACGTGCCGGCTGGCATGCCTGCCTTGGCCCTGGGGAGGGGAGAGTCTGGTAGGAACAGTCTCCCCTGATGCAATCATCAACTTATTCTCTCAGTGCCACGGAGGCAGGGCCAGCTCCTTGCTCCCCGCAACCACTGGGCACAGCTGGCAGCCTTTCTGGCACATGGGAGGCAGGGAATTAGCGGTGGCAGTTACACTCGGATGGGGGTGATCGTCCAAGGCAGTGTCCACACACCTGTGCTAGGTTCTCAAAGGTTCAGAGTTGTGTGTGTGTGTGTGTGTGTGTGTGTGTGTGTGTGTGTGAGAGAGAGAGAGAGAGAGAGAGAGAGTTGCCAAGGAGACCTTTTTAGCTTCTTCCCCTTCTTTCTCCAGCCATCAGGATCCTGCAGTCTGGATCCTGCCCATCCCCCAGGATCCTGTGCCCTGGGTCTGGCCAGCACAGCACTGGGACGGAGAGAAGAGTGATGGAGACTGACAGAAGGAAAAGAAGGTAGCGACAAGAAGGGGGGTGAAAAGAAATGGGAGGGGAGATAGGCAGCACTGAGGAAGAAGGGCTTTAGGGAGGGAAGGAAGAAAATGGGGGAAAGGGAAGAAGGAAAAAAAGGAGAGCTGAAAAAGAGAAATGAAGTGGAAGAACAAATGGATATGGTGATGCGGGTGATGGGCTAGAATGGGACTGGATTGGCCCTGCCCCCAGAAGCCATCTCCATGGTCCCTGCAGAGTCTGGGTGAAAGCTGGCCACCTATGCCTTCCTCCCTCATGTCCTCTGAGTCACAGATGGCTCTTCCTGGGATGACCCTGGTACCTGCCCCACCGGCTCTGCTCTCTTCTGATGCTCCATTTCCTGGGGGAAGGCGAGGAGGAGGCACAGGGTGGTCAGGTCAAGCCATCACCTCCTGTTCAGAACATTAGATCTCCATGAAAACAGCCTCAGGCCTGTGAGCCCTCTCCCTTTAGCTCCAGTCCTTCATTCTATAGAAAGTGCTGCAGTCCAGGCCTGGGCAAGGTGATGTTCAAATCACGAGCTCTACTCCAGTGGGGGCCTCAGAGAAGGACACCCCAAAGTGCTGGGACTCGAAGACGGTGGAGCTTCCAGGGTACAGAGAGAGCAAGCGCGTAGGGAAGTCCCTCAATAATAACAATTCCTATCTGTGGAGTACTTACAGTGTCAGCCACCGGGCTGATCTCATTTCAGCCACAGAATAGCCCTGGAGGCAGGGAACATTTTTAACTCCGCAGACGAAGAAACTGAGGCACAGAGGCGTTAGGATACCTATCCACAATGACACAGCCTGTAGGTCGTGGAGATGCTCTAACCACTGCACACTTTCCTCTCAGGCACAATAACTGGGGTGTCCTCCGTGGTCACTAAGGGCTGTAGCACCATTTTCATGTGTGGAAGCGATTCCCCCAAGGTCGGGCAGTGAGAGGTGGTGCGGCCCTGCCCCCACACCCCCATTTACATATCTAGCCTCAGGCAGGTGTTCCTTGCCCTGCCTGCTGCCCACCGGCTGTGAGCCCAGAGCACCGGCTTCTCTTCTTTGCCTCTGAATTGCAACGTTGGCGGCAGAAGCGGGAAGCATATTGTGCAGAGAAACAAAACTGAGTGGTTTTTCCTTTTTTTCTGAAGGTGGTAATGGTACAATTAGTGGCTAAGCCATCACCCCTCCTCCCTTGCTTGCTTCTGCTTCTCCTCCTCCCCCCTCTGCCTCCCTCCTGTTTCTCTCCTGGGAAGAAGTGAAGTGGCTGCATCACTCCCACCCTCGACTTCCAGGAATAGGGGCAGCATTTGGGTACCTGATGTCTCTAGGGACCCCTGGACCTAGGGATGTGAGTTGGGGACCTTCTGGGGTTTGGGATTACCGACAAGACACTGTGTCCAGCAAGTGAGGTGACCCACAAGGCCCTTTAGAGGGTCTCAGGAGGTGGGTTAGAAACCCAGAGGGTTTGGATCCCATTATCCAACCTGTGCCCATTATGGGCACGTGCTGGCAGGAGACCTCAGCCTGGTGGGCTGTAAAATGGGCTTGCATGTAGGGAGAGGGCACGAAGGGTCTGAGATCCTAAGTGCAAGCTGGAGTGATGCAAATGGTCATGGGTCCTGCTTTAGACCTTCCCTTTTCTCTTCCAGGGAAATGAGCCCGCCCCATCTTCACTGCCTTCCTCTCTGAGGGGCAGCTTTGCTCTGTTTTCCAGAAAAGCCCGCTGAAGGCTCAGAGGGGAGCACTGACTTTCCAAGGATCACACAGCCAACAAATGTCAGAGCTCAAAGGGAACTCAGATCTTTAACCTCCCAGGCCTTGGGGTGAGATTTTTGGGCCACAGAGATGGCTCCTGCCCTGAAGAGTTGCAGTTGGCAGGGAAAGTGCCCACAGGACCCTGGATGAGGGCTTTAGGGCAGGTCTGTGGCCGCTTCTCTCCAGGCCAGGCCGTGCTCCCCTCCCCACTGCCTCCTCTACCTCTTTCACCTTGACTTGAAGCGCCAGCAGAAACTGGGACACGAGCCCCAGGAGACCAGCTCTCCATGGCCCTCAGGGGCATGGGCCGGGGGAGAGGTTATGGAGGAGCCTCAGGAGGGACCAACTGTGACAGCTATGATGGGGGGCTTCTTCCTGAGCTAGAGCACAGTGTGATGGGCAAAGTGGCAAAGAGCAGAGATAAGAAAAAATAAGAAAAAAAGAGCAGAAGAAAAAAAAATACAGAGGGAAGCAGAGAGACAGTTATAGAGACTACAGTAAGAGAGAGAGAGATCCCAATGAATTAGCCATCATTTCCCTATAAACCTTAGAACCCCGCTGTTGCCAGGACAACGGGGCAATACCTGTCTCTCCAGAGGAGCTGAAGTTGCCAGGGTAACTGCATCCTGTCTTTCCTGGGGACCATCCTGGAATGTGGCACCCACCATTACCATGGCAACTGCCTTTTTGCCCCTATTTAATCCCATCTGAGGGCCCCACAGTTGGAGGTGGGGGAGGTGGGAAGAGAGCAGATCACTTGTGGATGAAGTTTGTTCTCCTCCCCCTCCTGCAGTCATTCCCCCCTCCTCCGCCAGCCCCGTTCCCCCACCCCCCCCACACCTACGGGGTGCTTTGTCCACCTGCCCCAGCCCACACATGCCTGCAGTATTGTGTACAGGTCAGGCCAGGGCGTTCTGGAGCAGGTTTCGCAGTGGAAGGCAGGCAGGTGTTGGGGAGGCAGTTACCGGGGCAACGGGAACAGGGCGTTTCCGAGTTGGTTGCCATGGGGACCTGGATGCTGACGAAGGCTCGCGAGGCTGCGAGCAGCCACAGTGCCCTGCTCAGAAGCTGGGGGCTCCTCAGTTAAGCCGGTTCTAGGCTCTCACTCGGCAGCAGGGGCAGGCGAGTGGCTCCTGGTTCTGGGAGCAGAACAGCAGTGCCCCAGCCCTGGTCCTCCAGCCCTGAGCCTCGCCTGCCCGCCCGGCACCAGGATGGCCACCATCACCTGCACCCGCTTCACGGAAGAGTACCAGCTCTTCGAGGAATTGGGAAAGTGAGTTACACCTTGGAGAGTCCCGGAGGGCCCAGGGGCGCTGTGCCAGGGGCGGGGGTGTGCACCTGGGGTGTTTCCCGTGCTCACAGAGGGAGGAAGGCTGTCTGTGTTTGGGGGGCACTTGCATGTGCAGAGTGTCCAGTACTGGCACGGGCATGTTTGTGGGGACACAGAGGTGCCCAAATCGGCTGGACGAGTGTGTGTATAGAGGTGAAGGGTTGCTGATGCAGGCCAGTGAGGGCACACACATGTATGCGCACATACACATCCCATGACCTGGGTGCACACGGATTCTTAGAAACTCGGGGTTAAAAAGGGGTTTTCCTGTCAGCCGAGTCCAAGGCTGGGATTCCCTGTGAATTTCTCTTGAGGTGGCCAACTGGCATCCCTTTGGGTACCTCTGGTGACAAAGGTACCTGCCAGGTGGTCCTTCCTGACTTCAGATAGCTCCCACGACTGCAGAGCAGCCAACTTCTCCCTGGAAGCACAGCCTTCCCCCCCCCTCCCTTCCCAGCTCCGCTAGGAGCAAGGGCATCGGCACAGCAGGGGTTAATTGCTGAGCGAAGGGTGAGGCTCTCTGGGTGTTGGGAGGAGGGGAAGGGCAGCCGGGCAAGTTGGGAGGGGGCACTGCAGCTGCAGGGGCTAGTGGTGTGAGGTGCACCAGTGCTGGTCCTTGGCAAAGTTGTCCAACCCCAGAGCTCATGTTCTGCCTATGATGACTGGTGTGGAGAGCAGGGTAGGAAGATGGGGGACGAAGAGCCCCTTGGGGTAGCCCTAAGGTTATGGAGTGTTAGGGAAGCATTCCTGGATGCCCCCAGTAGAATCTGTGGAAGATGCAGGAATGGATCCAGGGTAAGGGTACAGTTCGGAGACAGTTTGCCCCTTGGGCAAAACAACTCCGATGCCCTGGGTATAGCGGCAGGAGTGCAGGGAGAGGGGCTCTGTGAGCAGGGCTGGACTGCTGTGAGGTCTGGACTTGCACACACAAGTGTTCACTTGAAAGTGTGGTGTATAAGGACTGACTCTGGCGTACACTCTGTGCACCGAAAGGATGTGCGAGTGTTCAAGTGTGTGCACCAGGAGGGGCTGGTGTGTGAAGCCTGAAAATGCAAGTGTGCCCTGCAAGTGTGGATGCGTGCAAGCGGCACAAGGAGTGCTGTTGGCTGGTTTGCACAGGAGTGAAGGTGTGAGCGTGCGTCTCATGTATGGCAAGTCAGCTGTGTGCACATCAGCAAGCAAATGTGTGTGAGGTCTGGGCATGTGCAAACATATGTTTGTATAAGGATGCACATCTGAGACGTAGGCACAGTGGTGTCCCTGTGAGGTCTGGACATGCATGTGAGGACCTGGGAACATGCACACAGGAAGGTTTATGTGTGTGCGTGTGCGGCCTGAGCCCACAGGCGAGGGTGGGAGTGTGGGTGTTTTGAGTTCTTGCTGGTGTCTGCATATGTGTAGGAGGTGGGCCTGTGGCTGTGCACAAGTAGGCTGCCTGCATGCACACATTTGCACACTGGGCAAGCCTGACACCTACAGGTACACGCCAGTTCCTTCGTACAGACACCCCTGTGCAGACCTGTGCTCACGCTTGTCTGCAGACTACCTGTCTTTCTGAGTGTGTTTTTTTTGTGCTGGGGGAGGCAGCAGGAACAAAATGTGTAAGGCTGCCCTGGAGGACGGAGGCTGTCTGCCAGACTTGCGTGGGGACCCCCTTCTCAGCTGGTTCCCAGTGCCCACTGGCAGCCGGGATTCCCTGGTTAGCGGAGAGCTGCCTGTCAGGGGGCGCTGGGAAGACTGCGTCGCAGAGTGCGGTGAAACGGAGTTAAGATGTGACTCAGGTGCTCAGCATGACAATAAAAGTGATGTTTTGCCCCGCGAGGAGATGGAGACCATGACGACTGGGTACTGTGGGGGCGACTTGGCAGAATGCCTCCTCAGCCCCGCAGCCTGCCAGGGCGCCTGGAGGGACCTGGGCCATGGCAGCTCCTCGGGGGATGGGAGCCCTGGTGTGTCCATGGCAGGAGCACCGAGGGGGGCAGGCGTGGCCAGGCCTTGTTTAATCAATTTCAGACCTCTTCCTTCCAGAATCATCAGTGCTCTTAACCTTTTCTAGGTCACATATTCCTCCAGGAATCTGACGAAAGGCTAAGTCTACATTCCTCAGGAAAATGCGCAAAACTAAGATATGTTGCATGCGCTGTCAGGAGCTTGCAGGACCTCAGGAAGGCTGGGGCTGGGCCTCATGTTAGGATGCTTGCGTTAGAAAAAAGGGGACGAGGACCCGCACCTCTGATGCCTGGCTTAAGAAGGCCAGGGTGCCACAGGGCGGACGGTCTGCTGCTCTAAATTATCATAACAACTTTAGCCCAAGAGGCCAGGAGGGGACGTGCCCAGCACAGGGTATAGGCTCTGGACCTCACCACCCACAGCTCAGTGATGTTGGGCAGGCTGTGGCACTTCTTCTCCCCTGCCCCCCACCTAAAACCTGGAGATGAAAAAGGGCTGAGGATGAGATGAGATGGTGCGTGTGAAGACGTAGTGACAAGCCGGGCACACAGTGGGCCTTCCAGACGGCATTGCTTCTGGGGACTGGAGCACGGAGCATGCGAGCAGGGCCCATCCTTCTGTTTGGTGACTCAAGGTCCCCGCCAGCCGGGACACTGCAGTCACCACCCAACGCTGAGCCCCTGTCCCAGGAGCCCACTTCCAATCCCCGGCAGGGTGACTGGCAGAGACCGCTGGGTGGGCCCTACAAGGGGACATGGGAGCCTTTAGACCTCCTTTGGTGGGGCCCCGGGCTGCCCAGCTGGAGAGGAGGGCACGTGCCTCTTGAGGGCTTCCCGGGGGCCTGCCCGAGGTGGTCTGGCTCGTGGCTGCAGGCCTTCCTTCAAGGTGCCCACTGGTAGGGCTGGCTGTGGATGGAACGGAAGCTGCCCCTCTCCCTCCTGCTGGAAAGCCAGCTGGGGGTGTGGGCTGGAGTCAGTGCCCTGGGCAGGGGCTTCTCAGGGCCTCTCGATGCCGCTGGAGGCAGGACCCACGGCAGCGTGTGAGTCGATAAACCAGGAATTGATTCCAGGTCGCTGAGAGGGCTGAGGTGAGACTGTCTCTTGGACCCAGAGCCTCCCTCACTCTCCCCTCCCTTGACCCCAATCCTCCTTCCTCCCAGGGAATGAGGGAAATGAAAGCCGGACCCTGGGAGCACAGTCGCTTGTTGGGAGGCAGGCTGCAGCGACGCCAGCTCAGGGTCCGGGGAAGGGGTTAGTTTCCAGGAGGTGGACAAGGGGGATGCCTCCTGCAGCCTCTGGCGCTCTCTGGGCTTTGGATCCCACGGCCAGAGGAGGGGAGGGAGGCCGAGAATTGCCCTGCAGCCTGTGTAATCAGCAGGCAGTACAGAAAGAGCCTCTGAAGGAGACAGTGCTTCAGAGAAGGAGAGGGAGGGGGACTGGAGAGCGGGTGCAACCCACTCTTTTCTCTCTAGACGCAGAGATCTGAAATTGTCTCAAGGGCGCGCTGGGGTGGGGGAGGGCTCCCGAGGGCCAGTGAGGTTGGCAGAGGGAGGGCAGAGAGCTGGCTCTGGAACCGCTGCCCCCTCTGCTTTGTATTGTGAACCGGACGTGGGCTGGGCTGGGCTGACCAGGGGTCCACACCGGGGCCCAGAGGCAACTCCCTGCACTTGGGTGTCCAGGGTCCTGTGTTCCCCTCTGGGGACCCACACTCTAATGTCTGCACAATGTTTAGCTCTCTGGTCCTTCCCGAGCTGTTAGGAAGATCGATGATGTAACACTGGGGAGAGAGGGCACCTGGGCATGGGAGCGCCACCCAAAGCTGGGCGTGTGCTTTTATTTTGCTCCTAATAACCTATTACATCCACAGCACTTTGGGGCCGGTGAGGCTGTTCTCCACCCATGAGCTCATCTGGGCGGGAGGCAGGGGGCTTACCTATCCATCTCCCAGATGAGCAGACTGACGCTGGAGCAGGTGGGTGGCTGGCTCGGGGACGGGGGACGGGGCTCAGGCTTGCCTGTAGGTCTCCGACACCTGCATACGGGGGAGGCTGGTGAGAGGGTCCCCGCCTGGTGCTATGTCTGGGAACACTACTCGGAAGAGGGATGGTGGCCTGGTGGGTGAGGGGACTCTGAGCTGTGGTTTGTTTTCCAATCAGGATTCTGCCTCTCATTTACCAGGCCACCCTGGATGGACCCCTTGTCCTCGGTGTCCCTCAACTTTGCCATCTGTATAATGGGGTTGGAATAGCTTTGCAGATGCTGAAACGCCCCTGTTAGAGTTGCTGTCCTCTTTGGGCTCCCTCTGTGGGAGGCACACACGGGGAATTTCAGACTCCCAGAGCTTCAGGACGGAAAGGACCACAGCACAGATGGTGAAGTCAATACCCACAGAGAAATGGTTTGCCCAAGGCCACAGGGCGAGGCCGTGGCAAAGCCAGGGGAGGGGGCCCCGATAATGTGCAGGAGCCAGGGGCCAGAGGCCAAGAATGGGAAGTTGGGGGCGCAGGTCCTCAGGAGGGGGTGGCAGGGACAGGGGAGGGTACAGCCTCTCCTCCCCCACTGCAAGCCACCCGAGCGGCAGGCACGCACATGTTCTGGTGCATGCGGCAGCCCTCCGCCCCCACGCAGCCGCCCCCGCACAGGCTGAGACACACTGACACTGCTGAGCCGCCCGCCTGCCCGCCTCCCTGCACAGGCACACAGTGGCACTGCTGCCAGCACCCCTGCAGGCTGGGGCCCTGGCTCTCTCCGTGAGTGAGGGCAGAGCCCTGGGAGGCAACGCCAGCATCCTTTCGCTAGTGTGCGTGGGCACACACACGTACACACATGCACACATGCACACACACGTGCATATGTATGCATGAGGGCACACACACACTGGCTCCAACTGGGCTTTAAATACGAGTCTACCTCCCAGTGCAGAGAGAGCAAGATGATACTTGGCCTGGCTTCTGGGTGGCGCGCTCTCTCTCTCTCTCTCTCTCTCTCTCTCTC